TACTATATTAAGGTCTATCTCTTTAGATCTGAAAATATTTGCTTTATATACCTGGATATTCCAGTTTTGGGTGCATATATATTTACAGTTGTTATGTCTTTTTGCTGAATTGATCCCTTTATTATTATATTATGTCCTTCTTTATTTCTCTTGACAGCTTTTGACTTAAAGTCTGTTTTATCTGATGTAAGTATAGCTACTCCTGCTTGCTTTTGGTTTCTGTTTGCATGGAATATCTCTTTTTATCCCTTCACCTTATGTCTGTTTGTGTCTTTACAGATGACGTGAGTTTCTGGTAGGCAGCGTATGGTTAGGTGTGTTTTTTTTTTAAATGCATTTATCCAATCTATCTTTTAACTGGGGAATTTAATCCTTTTACATTTAAGGTTATTATGGGTTATTATTGGTTGGTGAGGACTTATTCCTGTCATTTTATTTATTGCTTTCTATTTATTTTTTATATATCCCTTCTTCCTTATTTCTTCTATGATTGTTTATTTTTGCAGTTTTTGGTGGTTTTTCATAGTGATAAGGTTTGGTTCTTTTCACTTTTTCCTTTATGTATCGGCTCTCCCAGTGAGTTTTATAGTGTTGTGTGTTTTCATTATGGTGGTTATTGTCTTTTCACTTCCACATATATTAATAAGACTCCCTTGAGTATTTCCTGTAAGGCTGGTCTAGTGGTGATGATTTCCCTTAGTTTTTGCTTGTCTGAGAAAAACCTTATTTTTCCTTCATTTCTAAAGGATAGCTTTGCTGCATATAATATTCTTGAGTGGATTTTTTTTTCCTTTTATTACTTTGAATATATCTTCCCATTCTCTTCTGGCCTGTAAAGTTTCTGCTGAGAAATCTGCTATTAGTCTAATAGAGATTCCCTTACATGTGACTTGATGCTTTTCTCTTGCTGATTTTAGAATTCTTTCTTTGTCTTTGACTTTTGACAACTTGAATATAATGTGCCTTGGAGAAGGACCTGTTTGGGTTGAGGCTATTGGGGACTTTCAGCTTCTTGGATCTGGATGTCAGTCTCTTTCCCAAGACTTGGGAAATTTTCAGCTATTATTTCATTAAATATGTTTTCTACACCTTTTCCCTTGTCCTCTCATTCTGAAATTCCCATAATGTGAGTATTTGTTCTTTTAATGTTCCATAAATCTTGTATGCTTTCTTTATTCTTTTTAATTCTTTTTTCTTTTTTTGTCTGCCTGAGTTATTTCAAAAAGTCCTATCTTCCAGTTCAAATATTCTTTCCTCTGCTTGGTGTAGTCTGGTGTTGAAGTTCTTGATTATATTTTATTTTTTATTTCATTCATTAATTCTTCATCTCTAAGATTTCTAAGATTTCTGTTTGGTTCTTTTTTCAAATGGTATCTTTCTCTTTGTTGAGTTTCTCATTCAAATCATGAATTGTTTTTCTGATTTTGTTGAATTGTCTAACTGTATTCTCTTATATTTCACTGAGCTTCCTGAAGATGATTATTTTGAATTCTTTTTCTGGCATTTCATATATTTTCTTATGATTGGGGTGTATTATTGGAGAATTATTATGTTCCTTTGGAGGTGTCATATTTCCTTGCTTTTTCATGTTTGACTTGTCCCTACATTTATTTCTAAGCACTGGTAGAACAGTCATTTCTTCCAATTTTTTGGAGTACTATTTGTAGGGAAAGACTTATTTCTGTGGATGGGTCTTGGGGTGTCAGATGAGTAGGGTATGTTGGCTTTGGTTCTAGGTGGACACAATAGTGTATTCTCTGTGCCGATTCTTCAGCTGTAATCCAGTGAAAAATCTAGTGATGTTTGCAGGTATCTTAGTGGCGTAGGCTGTGAGCTTGTAGCAGTGGTGGTGCAGCTTTGCTGGGGGTGGACTGGTGAGGCTGTTTCTCAGGCCTGGAACACAGGCATGTGGCCGTTCAGTTAGCCTGGGGGCACGTCCACTGGGAGCAGATCTGGGCTGGTTCCTAGGCCCTGGGCATGGGCGTGGGGTTGCTGAACAGGCCTGGGGGCATGTCTGTGGGGGGAGGGGACACCAGGCTGTTTCTCAGGCTCAGGAGGCTGGCAGGTAATCACTGCCAGCCTAGTGGCATGTCAGCTGCTTGGCAGCTCAGAGGCCCAGTCTGGCTGGTTCAGGGTGGGTTTGCTGTAGGCAAGTCTTCCAGACTGTTTCTCCAGCTAGAAGTGCAGGCAGTGGGATTTAGTTTCCCTGCTGCGTAGCACCGGAGTCACAGCTGATCCTGGGCGCAGGATCTGAGCAGCCAGAGTTATGGCACTGCAGCTACCCGTGTGGGCTTGGTGGCACGAAGACAGAGCCCCTGGGCAGAAGAGGTGCAGTAGCTCTTGGACCCCAGAGCAGGCGCTGTGATGCAGCAGCTTGGCTCACGGGTTGGTGGAGGTGGGGAGTGCACACCTTGTACTCCTAATCTGGAGCAATGGGACAGTCATGGGTACTTTTATACTGTTGTGTCTCGTGGCCTACGTTCATAGATTCCTAGCAGCTTTCCAAACTGGGCTCAGGGCTTGCAAGGACCGTTGGATTCTCTGGTAATAAGGACTGTAGGTGTTTGCAGTGGCAATGGGGGCTCGTGCGGTTCTGCTTACCTTTCCCACAAGGGGAAGTTCCTCCTGACTCTGGGCCTATCGGAGTGGGGGGGTTGCAGAGGCAGAGCCTCCACGCTGCCTCTCCACTCCGCCCGCCCTGCCTTGCTCTCCTGACACCTCCCGGTCAGATCTTAGCTGTCTATTCATTGCTTTGGTCTTGCCTTGTGGGCAGGATGAGCGCGAAGTGCCTCTAATCAGCCATCTTGTTGACGTCTTGTAACTTCCTTTCGTCACCAAACCCTGTTTCTCGTATTTATCCATGCTGACAGATGCAAACTCAGCTCTTCACTTCAACTCTGAATGACACTCGATTGTGTGAATAAATCAGTTTAATCCTCCTCCTACTAATGAACAATTAGATTTTTTCCTCAAATTTTTTTATACAGTGCTGGAGTGAATATATTTTTCATGTCTCCTTTTCTATATATTTGAGTTTCTGTAGGACCTGGCTTTTTTTTTTTTTTTTTTTTTTAGCAGCGTATGTCTGATTTATTGATTCCTGCAATGCAACAGACGTTTCTCATGGAGGACTTACAGACCTCTAGCTGATCCCATTGCTCTGAACCCCAAATGGGCCTGGTTCTTAACATTTTTTGTGCCATATGTTCTTTTGACACTCTAGTGAATCTTATAGATCCCTTCTCAAAATAGTATTTATGTATATAGGCTAATGTACACAGGAAACAAATTATTTTAAAATAATTATCAAAGTATTAAAAAAACCTAAATTTATGATGTAATAATACACATGCCTCTTACAATACCCCCTTCTATTGGTAGGTCTAATAACTGCCATAATTTTGAAGTTGTGCTGAGTAAAAATGGTATTTTTAAGATATTTACAGTATTTGCAATATAATTTCTACTGGGACAGTCATGGGTACTTTTATACTGTTGTGTCTTGTTGCCTACATTCATAATTGAGGGAAACTTTAAATTTTGGTTGGGAGTTTATCATTTTATCCCCATCCAAGTTCACAAATTTTACCATCTGTGCAATTTTATTGGATTTGCACATTTTGTAACTAGTTTTGCCATTTTAGTTTCCAACTACATTAAAATGATAGCTTACATATATTGAGCTACTATGTGCCAGGTATCAAGTTAAAAGTTTTATACCCATTATTATCTCATACAACCTTCACAGCAACCCAAAGAGACATCTCCATTTTACAGGTAAGGAAATTGAGGCCTGGGGAGGGGAAGGAACTTGCTCACACGTGATCAACTGAGCTAGGATTCAGATTCTGGCTGGCTAACTCCATAACCCAGGTTCTTTACCAGCATAATACAGCATTCACATTTCCATAACTTAAAGGAATCAAACAAAATTTACATGCTATAGTAGCCTTTAGCTGCTGAGCCAAGCTAAGGTGATTTTCACATATTACTCATGGTCTTATAAGGGAGAATCAAGGACAAACAACATTAAAATACATAGTGGATTTTGAAAGCTACATAGCAAGTCATGAGGAATAGGGGACAGTATGAAATACACAATTCTGGTCTAATTCAAATGTGTTCTCAGAGCTCCATCATACACCTAATGATGGAGATAAAAGTTTGTACCTTATAGAGGCGCCGAATTACACAGATGACCAGCTGTATCCCCTTCTCTTTTCCTGTAGCAGGAAAGCCTAGGGCCAAATGTACTGTCCGTCTCTCTGTCTGGGTATCAGTGCTGAATGTGTGTGCACATGTCACACCATTGCTTGTTCCACTTATATCCTTATCATTGTTGTCTTCCCTTTTCCTCACTTTTAATTCGTCTTGCGTATATCCTTCTAAACCATGGCTTCGGTATGTATTTACATGCGGACCTACAATACCCGGATGTGGCAGGCAGAATTCTGCACTGGCCTGCAATATCCCTGCCCCCTGGTGTACACACACCTTCCCTCGATTATCCAATCAACCACACTCCGCTCTGCCTGCTGCGCTGAAGGGATCTTGCAGGTGTAATTAATGTCCCAAACCAGGTGACTTAACGGGAAATTATCTGGGTTGGCCTGACATCATCAGATGAGCCCTTAAAAGGGACTGGCCCTTGACGGAAGAAGGTCAGAGCGCGAGAGCGGTCTGCGGGAGGAGGCGGCTGTATGGCGAGGCGTCCAGGGAGCCGGCAGGAGCTCGGGCAGCTCCCGGCTGAGGACTGAGCGAGACCTCGGTCTTGCAACTGTAAGGAACTTTCACAACCACTCGAGCTCCAGATGAGAATGCGGAGCAGCCGACACAATGATTTTAACCTCGCGAGGAGCCCGTCTCTGCATGCCTGCTCCCCGGACCTGCAGAACTGTGAGTAACACGCGAGCGATGTTGGGGGCCTCTAAGTTTGTGCCAATTTATTGCAGCACCAATAGAAAACTAAAACTGAATATTTTGCTTCACGAAATTGCAGCTATTATTTGTTAAATATTTATTGATGTTAAATCCACATTACACCAGCACAACAATCCAAAGCAGTATGATAGTACTTTTTTTCCCTATAAATACAGCTTAAAGGTGGCAAAATAATGCTATTTAATCCCAAACCCAGCAAATTAGCAAAAAAGTCACATTCAGAAAAATTTGGCAAGGAAGATGTAAGTCATAATTCTACAATGTAGACAGGACCATGAGAGACTTTGTATGGTATCTTAAATTCCAAATTTGCGACGCACAGAAGTGTGGTCAAAGAAACTCGTACCACGCTGCACAGAATGACTGCCACCTGGTGCTCCAGCCCATTATCGTTTAAAACCTGGTTCCTTGGTGTTCTTACAAAGCAGAAAGCTGTACATGTGAAGCAGTAATATGAAATACATGGGGTGGTACACAGATATAAAGTTATTTAAAAAAATACTACGTATGAATTGAGTAACTGAGCTAAGAAAGTTCAACACATAAATAATGAAAGATAAATGTTTTGCATAAGGAATACAGTGTTTTCTTTTCATAGCAAAGTACCATTAAAGCCTCATGTTGTATACTACTTAGGCCAAATTATTTTTTCTTTTTAAAATGTATTGGTTCCGACTTAAAACCATCAAGTCTGGTCAGAATCAACTCAGTCTAGCTGAAGCAGAATCATCTGATTCCAAAAGCAGTGTCTGCTGAGATGCCTTACACACCGCTTGGAACCCAGCGCCTCCTCACGGCGAGGTTGCGCGGCAGCAGGGAGTGAACTAATGATTTCCACTCACCACCCCTTGGTGCCACTGAAAAAGTCCATCGTGACACACACCTGTTTTTGTTTTTCCTCCTGTCCCCGTTTCCTTCAAGTAGACTAGATCCATAGGCAACTTCTCATTTGTGCCTCCCTTACGGTCTCGATCGTTTTCAGCTTGCTCTACACACGCCTAAAATCTTTACTGCACGCACGTCAGACACACTGACACTTCCGCAGCACAGGTGCTCCAAACCTCCAGCTGACCCTGGAGTCCTTGACTCGCCAGTGGCAGTGTTTTCTCACCTACACGTGAGGTTAATTTTGAAGAAAACCACAGAAAAGCCTGGCCTCTGCCACCTCTCCTGCCCCTTCTACTTTTACGTAAATGAAGACAATATAATTGTGCTGCTGGCACTTTCCTTCATTCTTCCTGCTCCTTCCAAACCCTGTTTCCTCCAAATACTGTATGCCTTGGTCATTCGGGTGGTTTGGGTACCTTTTGTGGCGTGAACTGTAATGTATTTCTGCTTTGTTCAGAATACTTTATATTATTTATATTTAAATTAGCCTTTTAATACAGTTTGTATATAAGCTTCCTACCAAGGTAGCATGGAAAGAAAAATACTACACATAAAGAAAAAAGTTAAGAACTAAGGTATTGACCTTGTTAGAAAACTCCTGATATTAATAAAATTTAAGGCAAGTAGTTCCTTATGATTTAATGTAAAACAGTTTGTAAAGACAAGGCATTTACTTGGGTTTCTTTGTCATTCCTTCTTCCTTTTTCATCCTTACATATTGCACTTGGTTCACTGTAGCTGTCTGAATACACTGCATCTTAGAACCGCTGTAAGAAGTGTTTGTGGTACAACTGCCTCATGTTAAACATTCACACTATCATGCTATGTAGCACCTATAGCTTATGTTTAAAGGCACTTGTAGATAATACAAATGTGGTTTCCTGTGAACAACTGATTTCCTTTAGCATTTTGGCATTTCAGACCACTTTAATCACAGCAATTCCAAAAGTATTAAATTGGACAATAAATGTGAATTTTCTGTGCAATGTGTACACTTGTATTAGCATTACCTACTTAAACTCTAAGTTTGGTATATCAAGTAAGAAAAATGTTATTTTGGTGTTTTTTTATTTCTTAAAGGTATGCTTCTACCTTTTACATAATGTGACAAAGGAGTATGTTGGTCAAGGCAACGGCTGTTTCAGTGTTTCCGTGTTGACAGGATGCTGGGTTACAGGTCCTCGCTTTCCACCAAGGCGGTATTCAGTGTCAGGTGGGACGGGCTGGCTTCAGGTTGGAACGCTGCTTTGATGTCTAGTCCCTGGTCTGAAAGTGCTGCGTAGCGACTGGCAGACGGCCGGACTCTTTTTGGCTTGGTGCTCTGTGGCTGCTGATGCCACTGGGCTACAAAGAAAAAGAGTGAATTAAGATTTTTTTAAACAAAGATACACTCAGAAAGTCCTTAGATGCTTCAAGGAAATACAGAACGTTTTGATATATAACAGGCACGTGTTCTTTGTGAAAGACTGAACACAGCCATGGTAAAAACATGGAAGATTTAGGGACACTTCTGCGTTTTACTCGCATGTTGCAGATTTGCTGTCTCTACAGGGTAGTGGGTATTTAATGGCTAGATTACAAAGACCAGGTGTAGTTTATCTGTATGTAAATACCGTAGCACAGGGAATCCTTTGAAATAGCTGATAGGCTTTCTAAATCTCACCCCCCCTCCTTTAAAAATATTTTTCTCCAATAATTATAGTAGTTAGAAGTTCTGGATCAATGTTTTAACACTAATCAATTGAAAGGAATCGGCAGTAGGGCAGGATGAGGCCCCCATTTCTTAAGGAACCTCACTGAGTTATTTTATTTCCAAGAAGAGGTAAAATTTGAGGGCAGTTCTTAGTTTTTTTTTCTAGTGGTTTTCTTTATGTCAGTGGATCACATGATGCTACTGTACTGGTCTGTAAATTCAATAGGCATAGTTTTCTTTAAATTTAGGATGCATGTACACAGATATACATACACAAACACAGATCTGCTGCTGAGCTGCTTACGATACATTAACAAGAAAAGCACTAAGCCATGAAAGTGCATTCCAGGGTCAATGGCACACGCGTCTAGAGCGCATTAGGACGCTGTGATAGGATTATAATATAGGAAGAAATGTTAAAAGGCAGTCATTTGCAGAACACAGTAACAAGAAAATGTGAAAAACATGTGGTTATGCCTTTGCCTACTGTTAACTCCTAAGGATGCTTGAGTAAGGAAGCCACAACTAACTAGCCAATGTAAGAGAAATCAACATGCATATTTTGCTAATAATTCAAAGTTCCTGAATGATACTTGGGTATTTGTTCTCCTGGTGTGGTTCATTATTAATGTCGAGAAACTATAAATAGAAAGAGAGAGCAGTGTGAATTTTTTTGACAAATAAAAACACCATAGTTGTTTATAAGATCACGTAAGGGTAACATGATATGCCGCCCAGATGTCTAAATTTTCAGAATTTAATGAGTAATGCAACGAGCTGGGATGAAGGGGCACTCACTATAGACGTCCAGCCTGGCCGTGCAGGACACGATCCCGGCTTCGTTCTTGGCGGACACAGTGTACCACCCGGCGTCGTCTCTTGTGGCTCCCTGGATGAGCAGGCAGACGTAGCCGTGATTATCCTGGTGCATGCTAGAGAAAAGGATAAAGTCATTAGGGCTCTAAATTTTTAAAAAGCAGCTTTGGACACGAAGCATCGTTTTTAATTAGATCATTAGAAACAGAATGGTGCGAGTAGCAGCTAACAGGGTGGGACTTAATTCGGGAGAGGCTGCGGTGCCATTAGAGTCAATGGGGGGAAGAGCAGGCGTCGCGAGACTGAATACATCTGCGCACTTAACTCCTAGTTGAAGCTCTACCTTTACAAAACCACAGAGTAACCTATCGCCAGGAAAGCAAATGAATCCATCTTTTAGATGTGAGGATAAGCTCTTAACAAACATTACCATGAGATTAAGTCAGAATGTGCTTCAGCACACGGCATTATAGCTTCCTTCTAAAGGCTTAATCCTAAATTAGGGTGAAGAGTGACTTTTGTCTTTGACATCATCAATAACGTGGCTTTTACACACAGATTTACGGGCTATATAAAATGTAACTTTTTATATACCATTAGGACGATGGAACACTTACGCATTAGGTTACGGCCTGGCGTAGTCTTACCTCACTCGGTCAGTGCTGTGAGTGAGCGATTCATTTTCTTTCTTCCAGAATATCTGGGGTGGCGGCACTCCTGACACCCAGCATTCCAGCCGCACTGGGTACCCGTCAGCAACGCCTGTGTTTTGCAGCTTCTCAATGAACACGGGGGGTTTGTGTGCTTCTTTAGCTAAGAAAACATGAGATGAGTTACCTATCCGTGGTTTACAAAAGGAGCACTATAAAAAACTCAGAAGCCTTTAGAAATATTGCCTGACTAGATCTTTAATTTTACAACACCATTTTTCACTTCAGGTGGTGAGATGCCAATCCTCTCTTCCAATTATTCTTTTACCAAGAAAAGGTTTGTACGCTTCACTCCACTCCTTTATTTCCTCAAGTAATTCCGTCTGATAGGCCCACGCTGCCCGCGGCCATCTGCTCCACAGAAAGCCTGTCTGCCGGGCTGCAGGAGACGCCCAGGTCGCTGGGGGCATCTGTGCTGGCTTCACTGCTAATCCTGTCACCATGCCTCACAGCCCTTGCCAGCCACTGCCGCCCAGTGGCGCTGAGAGAGGCGTGTATTTCTAGGAATTTGATCCACTCACGATCCCCTCGGTGCTATCTGCAGTGTCTGCTGTGAAGATTCTGAGCTTGTGACTCCTGGCTGAAGTGAGACCCGCCATAGGATTTACAGGGGGAAAAAGAAGGGGAGGCATCTTTATCTTAATTTGGCAGCTTTACATAGTTACCTATAAACTAGGGATGTATATCCTATAAATTACAAATTCCAATTTGTATTCTTTGAAGGAAGCTATAAAAAAGAAACTTTATTATCACTTTGAAGGAAGGAAGTCATAAAAAAGGCAACTTTATTACTTAGTCTGAAAAAAGCGGATAATTGTTAATAACACTCTGAATATTATCATCCAATGGGAATTTTTTTTCTTGGATCACTGGTGGAAACCATTTCAGAGAAAGAATACGGTTTATTTTCTTCAGAACTGCCCATAATCAATGGGCAGGACAAAAACTCTGCCTGAAATTTTCACATGCCCGAGACTCTCTAAGACTGTGACTTACGTGGCAGCTGGTGTTTTCACTGAATTTAACGTGGTCACATAACCTAGGCTGTTTGGGGGAAGTGGGGACAGAAGCTGGCTTCATGTTCTTTCTGGGTCCCGGTTTTGAAAGGACATAAAATATGTAAAACAAGTCTTGATGTCATGGCAATGCACCGGTAAGAACCACATCCACCGTTGTGGAGCAGGGCCGTGTGGGCGCTGGCCGTGCAGAGCTCCACGCGCGTTTTATTTAATCCTTAGAAACATTGTGCGAGGCATCACGCTGCCCATTTTACAGACGGGGAAACCAAGATGCAGAGATGATGTATAAATCCAGAGGTCGCACAGCTGGTAAAGCAGACGAGAGCCAGGATTGGAACTGAGATCTGACACCAAAGACCTTGCTTCTAGGTACTGTACCTTGTCACCTTCTGACAGAGGTGCTAACTGAGGCAAAATGAGATGTCTGTCTCTTGTACCCTCAAGTCTCAGTCCAGAAGGACAGGTAGGATCAAAAGGCACATTTAGTAGGAGAAAAAATGAACAGTTGTAGTTTGAGGTTAGACTGCAGCGGTCCCCAACCTTTTTGGCACCAGGGACTGGTTTCATGGGAGACAGTTTTCCCACGGACCGGGGGTTGGGGGAGCAGAGCTCGGGCGGTGAGACGCGGCCCATTTCCTAACAGGCCACGGACTGGTACTGGGCGGCGGCCTGGAGGTTGGGGACTGCAGGGTGAGAGGAGTGAATGAAATCAGTCCTAGCATGTAGCGATATACTTCGTACAAAACTTAAAAGCATGGCTAACGTGGAGCACCACAGCCCATGTATTTACCACATTTTTGTGGGAAAACATCTTATTGCTATTACTAGAATCACCATCCAAGACTTTAGCCAAGGCCTGTGTTTTGTTCTTACTGCTTCTCTATTTCTTGAAAGAGCTCAGGGGCTCACAGCGAAAAGCACTGGGAATCGAGAGCCGTTCTGAGTCCGATCCCCGGCTTACTGTGCGGGCCGAGGAGGCCAGAGCCGACGTGAGCACCGGGTGGATGAGGTGCGAAAGAGAGAAGTGTTAAGTGATGCTCTTTCTTGAAAGAGATTAGATAATCAGAACCCTCACTGACGCCTAACTCCTGAGAATGGTATAGAAACCTTTGCACAAACGTATTTTCCTTTTAGGCTTCTTAAAGGGTAAGACTTCACAAAACAGTTTTACAAAATTTACCTATGGTATAAGCAATGAAAAAAGCAAATACAAGTTTAATTTGACTGTGACATTGAGAGTAGATGACAATATTGTTTAAAAGTTTTGGGGTTTAAAGTCACTGCACAGTGTGTTAAAAGCTAGGACTACACTTAGAACTTCGTGCTAAGTGAAGTCTTGGTTCTCGGAGTCCGTGCTGCTGGTCCCCTTCCCCTGGGGGCGGTTTGTGGGAGGAAAGAAAGATTAAATGATAACGGCTACACCGAAGCATGAAAAATTAATGTTTCTGATTTGTGGGACCTTATAACATGTCCTCATTGGCTATTTTGATGATACAATCTGTTTTTCAGCAGGTTGATTTATTTTCCACATTCATTAATGCAGGATTAGTTTACATTTGTAAGTCTGACGTTCATTCTGGCAGAGAGGGATGATTGATAGATTGAGCCTACCAGCAACCACAAGCTCCAGGCTGAACGAGTTCTGTCCTGCTCGGTTGGTGGCTATACACGTGTAGATGCCGGCGTCTCGTGACGTGACTGGCTCTATGATCAGAGAGTGCACCCCGTTCTCACGCACGAGCATCTTGTGAGCGCTGTCAGGGCGTATGGGCCTTCCGTCTAGTTGCCAGCTTAGATCTGGAGCTGGTAACCCACTGACCTAAACCAGAAGGGAAATGCATGTAAATTTTTCTAACATTGTAACAGAGTGAAATCACTGATAGCTAAGAAACCAGCATAAATTCCTCCTTTGGTAGTACAAGAGATGGCTTTTAGTATCAACTCATGTTACTCTTTGCTTAGAACTTTCCCGTGGCCCCTGAGCACTCACAGGCTCACTTCTCAACATCTCTTACTGAGCAACCTGGAGACAAGTGCAATGGGGATTAAAAAAATTTCTGTCCTCTTACCCAGGGCTATAAAGATGACTGGGATGATGTCAGCACCGGGCTTCACGCTTTTTGGAAAGAAGATGTCCAACAATAATAAGAAATCCTTAGCTGGCATTTATATACAGTACTATAAAGCTCCTCACCAAGAAGTGGTCCTCCCTGTGGGGACGCTAGCTAACGCATCCATCAGCACATAGGGCGGTTACTATTTTATAATCTGGAAACCGAGTAAACAGGAGCAACACAAAATTACCCAGAAAGCCCTCTCAACAAATGCGCATCACAGTGGAAACATCATAAAACCTCGAGACCTTGGCAGTTGTGTTGACCAGAGATCAGAGGAAAGCCCGGTAATCACTAATGACACGTCGCTGCAGAGGGTCGGGATGCCCGCCATCTGCCACCGTCACCGTTGTGCCCTGGATTTTGAATGCAGAGACGCATGCTAAGGAGGCCTCTTTACCCTCCCCCCACTTCACTAGTGGGACATGATACACAAAGATGTCAGTTAGACTGTGAAACGATTCTTCGAAGAACCAGCTTTGCCAAAATCAGCCGGGGAACTTGCACATTGCATTCCTGCTATGTGATACTCATTTACACTGCCTACGAGAGATGGCCTCCCGCCACACAGGCAGCAAATGTCTAGAGGATTTAAAGAAAAAATTAAGTGAACCTAAATTACTGGTTAAAAGGATGAAGAGATTTAAACAGCAGTCATCAGGCAGCTTGGCTTCTGAGAGGCTCAGGCTCACGTGTCCGCTGCCCCCAGCTCTCCGTGGACGCTGCTTGACCTGTCTGGAGGTCACCAGGAGAAGTGTGGAGAAGGAGGGCGTGGACACCTTTGGCGAGGCTCCTGGGCTTTCCCAAGTTTAGAAATAAAGTGGCACTCGTGTTCTCACTTTCCTAGGTTGACCCTAGATGCGCAGGGCCACCTGCTGACGAAGCCACCGTGTGCTCAGTAGGAGAGACGCCCAAAGCACTGTGTGCTCAAACCACCCGATTCGTGGTAGACTGGTCAGCGGACAGTCGTTCATGTTAGGGCAAAGGGAAAATGCCTTTTTCTTCTTCCCCTCCTCTGACCTCAGTCCTGGATGTATAAGGAAAGAAAGTGTGACCTCAGGAACTGAAGGTCGTCATAAGCAGGTCACAGTGTGAACAGACCCGTGCTCTCAGTGCACGAGGAGATCATGGGGAGAGCAGAGCGGCCCTGTTACTAGAGGAGTGGGAATGAACGTTTTCCCGAAGATTTAGCAGCAGGTCAAGGATGGTCAGTGTCTAGGAATGCACCTCAGGGGTTGAAAGGGAGGAGCGGGCTTTTTGGAGGAAAAGCAAGCTGTTGCTTTAGTGTTGGGCTTGTTTTCAAGATTTTTTTCCCTGTCAAAGCTAAATACACTGACAATTTTTTTTTCTGAAGTAGGTAACACTCCATCTGTTCATGTGGCAAAATTTTTCACATTTTCTTTGTCTAGGTCAGATCATCATAGGGAAATCAACAAGCAGAGATTACTTTTTGTTTCCAATTTTTTTGTTTGTTTTTAAAGACAGGGTTTTGCTGTGTCATTCAGACTGGAGTGCAGTGGTGTCATCATAGCTCACTGCAGCCTCAACCTCCTGGGCTCGAGCGATCCTCCTGCCTCAGCCTCCCAAGTAACTGGGAGTACAGGTGCATGCCACCACGCCCGGCCAATTTTTCTGTTTTTTGTATAGATGGGGTCTCGCTCTTGCTCAGTCTCAAACTCCTGAGCTCAGGCGATCCTCCCGCTCAGCCTCCCAAAGTGCTAGGATTACAGGCGTGAGCCACCACACCTGGCCTCCGATATTCTTTTAATGGCAGGGAGTTCAAGGACAGTTATGTCCCTGTACAGTGAAATAAAGTACTATGATTTCTTAAATATGACTAATAATAGAGATAACAGTATGGTGAATCTCTATATGATCATTCAGACTCACCCTCTTGTCATTTTTTCATATTTTAAAATCTCCAATTTTATGTAATTTTACGCCTATACATAGGTCAGTATACATTTCTAAAAACAGACTTTTCTTATATAATAGTTCCATTTTTATACATAAAATTAATAATCCCTTAGTATCATATAATCTATCTAAAATAAAATTTCCCCTGTTGATTAAAAAATGTCACTTTACAAGTGGTCTATGTGAATTCCTTAAAAAATACTTATTTTTTAATCAAATAAAATTGTATTTTATATTGTGTACAACATATTTAGAAATATGTGTACACTGTGGAATGACTAAATTGAGCTAATTAACATGCGATGAAAACACTTAAAATCTACTCTCAGCAATTCTCAAGCATACAATATATTGTCATTAACTGTACGTCACTATGGTGAACAATAGATATTGAACTTCCTCCCAGCTGCAATTTTGTGTCCTTTGACAAACATCTCCCCACCTCCTCTCGCTCTCCAGTCCCTGACAAACACAGTAGTCCTACGCTCTGCTTCTGTAAGTGAGGCCATGCGGTATTTATCGTTCTGAGCCTGGCTTATTTCGCTTAACGTAATGTCCTCTAAGTTCATCCATGTTGTCACAAATGACAGGATTTCCTTCTTTTTTTAAGGCTAGCTAGTATTCCATCCTGAATATACACCACATTTTTTTATCCATTGATCTGTTGATAGACACTTAACTTGATTCCATTTTTTGGCTATTATTCATGATACTGCAGTGAACACAGGGGTGCAGATGTCTCTGGGACATACAGATTTCATTGTCTTTGGATATACAGCCAGCAGTGTGAGCTCTTAATTAGACTGAAAATGAAGTAAACACACACAAAAATATATACACATGGAAATTAAATTTGTGTACTTGTAAAAATATTTATGCTGAGAAAATATTTTTGTTATGTTTATTCTTTTTATACATTTCTACAAGCCCAGCTTTTAAAAAATTTGTTTTTATTTCAGCATATTACAGGGCTACAAATGTTTAGGTTACATATACTGCCTTTGCCCCACCCAAGTCAGAGATTCAAGCATGTCCATCCCCCAGATGGTGCACATCATATCCATTAGGTATGAATATACCCATCCCCTCCTCCTCCCCCATCTGCCTGACACCCGACGAATGTTATTACTGTATGTGCACTTAAGTATTGATCAGTTAATACCAATTTGATGGTGAGTACATGTGGTGCTTGTTTTTCCATTCTTGGGATACTTCACTTAGAATAGGTTCCAGCTCTATCCAGGATAATACAAGAGATGCTTGATCACCACCGTTTTTTGTGGCTGAGTAGAACTCCATGGTATACATACACCACATTTTATTAATCCACTCATGTATTGATGGGCACTGGGGCTGTTTCCACATCTTTGCAATTGTGAATTGTGCTGCTATAAACATTCGAGTGCAGATGTCTTTTTT